ATATATATATATATATATACATATGTATGGGTAAGCAATGAGCCGTGAGGGTTTTCATCCCATTTTTGGTGTCTGTAGCACCAACAATCAGAAAATAAAGGGCTTTCTTGATTCCCACTTTATAGTTATTTGCAGTGGCCATCAGACCTTAAGCATAATTATTAGCACACACTGATTGCAGAATGAAGGAGATTCGCTGTGCTGGTCCACGCATGTCTGTATCATGTATTCCCCTCTTGCAGCTCCCGTCCTTCACACTGGAGGTGCTTCTGAATCTTCTTCTCCTGAGAGGAGAGCTGTTAGGAGAGGCTGCCAGGGCTGAATTTCGCTGGAACCCTGGCGGGCTAGCTCTGCAGCCGCTGATCCATTCTGGCAAGGCCATTGGGGTCTGTTCAAGGAGAGAGGGGAGTGGGCCGGGTAGGTCAGCAGGGGCCCCTGCAGGCCAGTGGCTCTGGTAGCGTTCATTGTCCTGTCCTGCAGTGCCCCCTCTGCTTGCCAGGCCCTTCTAGGGCACGGTGTCCACCGAAGAGTGGCACAGCTCGCAACAGTGCTGAGCACCTCGCTTGTGGTTGTTTTGTTCTAGCCTGTACTGTTTAGAGCCGAGTCACTGCCTGTTAAACCACATTGCAGAATCTCCTCCTTGGTCATTTCCACATTTGCCAAACAGGACGGTTGGCGAGTGTGGTAGCCCTGTGTCAGGGAGGTGTGCTTCATGTCACACACTGGCAAACACTGACATTCCCAGTCCATGTTGTCCCCACAGATAAGAACAGTGTGGCACAAGAAGATATATAGCTTAACTGAACAGTTAACATCAGAGTCCATTCCATGCAGTGGAATTCACCTACCCGTGCCCTGGGATGCACACATGTGCGCACGTGTGCATGTGCACACACACACACATATTTTCAAGACACTGAGAATATAAAGATGAATCAGACACAGCCTGATTCAGTTCAGTGCACAAAACAGACGTCTCTTTGGACAGTTCACATGAAAAGCAGAAGGACCTGGTGACCTGGTGCTTAACACCTCATTAGAAGAGCTGGATCCGCTAGGGTAGGAGGAGAGAGCTGCAGAGCTCCTGGCTTTGGAGTCACACCCTGCAACTGTGATCAGAAACTGCTGTGTCCACTTTTGCTGCTGCTGTCACCCAGGCTGTGCCCCTGAGTGGCACCCAGAATGGGAAGGGAATGTCTGCCGCACACACAGTACCTTCTGAGAGCTTCCTGACTGCAGCAAGAAGTTGGCACTGCTCCTGTTGGTCCTTTCAGCTGGTTGCTCAGGTGCACATCCTGGGGGCAGGTTCCCCATTCAGACTCTTAGCTGCAAGATACACATATTTGACCTCTCATCCCTGGGGGGTGCAAGTAGATTCCAGGCTCAGCATCCACAGGCAACATGGAGTGTGCAGCTCTGCACATGGAGCCCACATGCAGTCTTGCAAGTAAAGAGTCACTGAGGGCCCCGCAGGAAGTGCAGTGATGGATTTGGCACCATGCTAGTGGCAGCAGAGACCGGGCTTCCATGCATGAGCAGTAGGAAGTGGGAGAAGGCATCCAAACAGCTGTGTGGGAATGGTGGTGCCTGAATTAAGCCTTAAGGGTTTAGAAGGAGCGTTCAGGAGAGAAGGCCATGCTGGGGTGGGGGAGACAAAAGCCCATGAGGCACAGAGGGGATATAGAGCAGCAAAGCTGGGTTGGAGGTACTGGCCGAATGTAAAAGGTAAAAAATTACAGCTCCAAGAGGCTTGGTGGGAAGGAAATGTGGGGTTTGGAGCATGATCAGGAACAAGAGTGATCTGGATGGGGAGCATGAAGGAATCAGGACTGTGTTTTCATGTTAGTTTGATGTCTGAGCTGTGGATGACATCAGAACGCTCAGCTTGGTCTAACTGGCTACAGAGGGAACCTTGCCCTGCTCTTTCCCATCGCCTCAGTGGTGACTCAGTGCCAGTCAAGTCACGGGGTATAGAAAGGTGAAGCCCAGGAAGCCCAGTGGTCGCGTTCCAGTGACCAGTGAGGTGGGGTTTTTGGAGGAGGAGCAGTGTAGCCCGTGGGTGTCAGGGATGAAGAGTCACCCAGATGCTGGGCTTCACAGCTCTGACAGCTGTGTGCACTTGGCTTTGTCTTAGAGCTCAGATGCTCCACGGGTGTAGCCCGGATGAGGAGACAGAAGGGCCAGGAGCAGCAGGGGGATGGGAAGGATCGGGATTGGAAGTGCATGTGTCCTCATTCCTGTAGTGGGTGTGTTTATTATGAATCACGGGCTTGTACAGTAAAAAATTACAAGGGAAAAGGAGTGTGTTTTAGAAGCATGTTAAGTAGTTCTGCTTTAAGCAATGCACCTGGTTAAAAGGCCTTGAAGTTCTTTCCTGCCATGAAGCTGTGCGCAGTTGAATACAACATGAAAAAACATTTACAGATACATTGCTGAGCTCTCAGAGCCAGATCTTCTGAAGGAGCACACAGAAGGGAAACTGAGCCCAGAAGGGAAACTGAGTGGCCAGGGGAGCCCTGCAGGGACCTAGACATTTGAGGCTGATGGCAGCTTGGGGTGTGGGATGCTCAGGAACAGGACCAGGACAGAGTGAGGACTGTGTCTCTCCAGGGGCCACAGACTTAGGGAAAGCGGCCACTGGCCTGGAGTCTGTGGCCACTCCTCTAACCAGCTGGAGAAATGAAGGTATCAGTATTACTAACGATGACGGTAACAGTCTCCCCTGGTTATTTCAAGCTGTCACACCATGTTAGCATTCTCTGATAAATACCCTACATATACCCTTGGCCATGCATCAGTCATACTGGTAATGATAAGACAAAAACACCATAACCAAAACCAAACTCAAATAAAAAAGGACCTGAACAACAACTTGTGTATAGGAGAAAATAAATTAATTATACTGAGCCATATAATGTTAGACACAGACAGAAGACTGTAGCTACACATAACATACACATCTGTACAATGATCCTCAGAAACATGTTCTAGGAGAACAGAAGACTACATCCACTATGGTGATATTTTTATGAACACTACCTTGAAATTGATAGTATATGTTAAAGATAAACATATACACAGTAAAACAGAAAATATAAGTGAAGAATATAAAATATAATAAATACATAAATAAAATATTACATGTTTGTTTACAATATAAAATAGAAGCAAAGGAAGGATAATATTAGCTTCTAAAATATGAAAGCAGTTGAAATAATATGTAAACCATCATCAGCTTCAAAGTCAGAAAAAAGCAGGTTCAATTTCTTATGTAAGGGGAGGTCACTTCCGTGTTTGCTTTTGGCATTCTCTTTATTGCTTATGTATACACAAGTTTTTCTTTAAGTCTAAAATTTTATAACTTAAAAATTCTATATTTGGGCTGAGGATTTAGCTCAGTGTCATAAGTGCCTGGCTGGCAAGTGCAAGGCTTGATCCCCAGTCCCAAAAAACCCACAAAAAACAAAAAAAACGAAAAAAAATTCTATATTTGAGTTTGTATATGGCTCATTTTTCATTTTGTAATAATCTTCTGAATGAAAAGTAAATGTTTGTAAAAATGAGACTGATAGAAAAGAAGAGACATTTTACCTTTAGCTATTCTAATTTACTCATTTTTTTAGAGATAAAAATTCTTTTGAAAAAAGTGTTCATTAGCCCCTAAAAATATAACAAATAAAAATAGTATTTTAATAGGTATATTGCTTAGGGTTCTCTACAAGAACAGGATCAACAGGAAAAAAGTTGCATAAATAAATTGCAGGGGAGTGATTAGACTCACAGCAGCAGCACCAGGGGCTGTCTGAAAGCTGGAGAAGGGGACCTAGCAGCTGCTCAGTTGAAGGCTGGAAGCCACAGAACAAGAGGGACAAAGGATACAGCTGCAGACTCAGACTGCGCTCAAGCTGAGTGGGGCTTTTCCAAGTACAAACCAGCTTCCTCCTTCACAGGCGAGCTGCCCGGGCCGCAAGCCTACTGGATGGTGCCCCCACAGTCAGGATGGTTCCTCCTCTTTCTGTTGGCTGGCCTACCTGTCAATCGTTTCTGGAACCACAGCATAGATACATCCTGAAGTGTGCTTCATTATCTGCTAGGCTGGTCCTGAGCTGTCAAGTTGCAGTCATGAGTCTTAGGAGAGTCATGGCATGCATGTGATAACCAGAGAATTTTGATCCAAGAGAAAATGTAAATTAAAAAGAAACATACCTCTAGGGCCTTGGTGTTCACCTTTATCTTTCATTTGTTTCTGTTGGTTCCCTAATAGAATCCTGATCCATTTGGCTTGAGAATTCCCTTCATATTTCAGGAAGGGCTGAGGGTACCCCTTACTGGGTTTTGGGATTAAAGCACCTATAAGGCAGAGGCAGCTCTTGCTGAACAGGGGCAAGGCGTTAGCTGGCCTCCACTCTCTGCCAGTGGGTTGGCCCTGGAGGGTTTGACTTTCATTAAACCAAGCAAATGTACCCTCACACTTCCTGTACAGCACCTGTGGGTTTCCATTTTGCTTAAGCCTGAATTCTTTCTTTATCGTTGAAATAAGGGAGGATGTTTATAATTAAGTTTATGAGTTATAGAGAAAATGCATAAAGTGAATTTTGATATCTGGTGACATTTATGTTAAACATGACTACTTTACATTTAATGAAGCGTTTTAATTTAAATTTTATCATAAAATAATTTTAATAAAACTTTTGTGCAACATATAGTCTTTATTTGACAGATACCTAATTTTTTTATTTATGTGCTGGGACTGTAGCAACTTAGCATTTTGCAAACCTAAAATATGGCACTCATGCAAATGCAGAGGTTCTGTTCTGGTGGAGAATTCGGTTTTTGTTAAACGTTGCTATGCTGTGAGACTTTCTCTTCTTTCCCTTAACAATGTAGATGATAATCTCATTCTAGTCTCAGGATCCCAGCTTTGAATACTGTGTGGCCTTTCCTGCAACTCCTCAGTGTATCACAACTCCTCTTAACTCTGTCCCCTCATGTCGCCCTAGGATAGCTTCCCAGCACGATTCGGAGGAATTCATTTTGTCAACCAGCCATGGTACATCCATGCCCTGTACACTGTGATCCGGCCCTTCCTGAAGGAGAAGACTCGAAAAAGGGTATGTTTGTTTCCTTGTTTCTAAATCTCTTCTACTTTTGTATTCAGTGACTTATGATATACATACTGTGTAATCCTGGCCATGGTAAAATGTGGGTTTGTGTGGTTATATCAGTATTTACCATAAAAGACTCTGAAAAATTATTAGAGACCTTTTGGTTAGTTCTTGACAGTTTATCTCTGCATGGAATATTTAAAAACAAGCTCTCCTGCTTTATCACAAAAAGGGAGAACATTTAAGCACATTTATTGTATAAGAAAGCCATGGTGTAAAGAATTATGACATATTAATACTTTATTATTGGTGCAGCTAATTTCAAGTAGAGTCTAGGAGAAGTTTTATTATTATTTGCTCATAAGTGAACGTTACTTTGTAACATGTATTGCAGTGACTAGAGATTTTTGCAGTGTCTGGTTAATTGTGTGACAATAGTCATGACCAATTACACTTTTTGAAAAAAATTGCTAGATGTAGGAATTCTAATAGTTTTTTAAGCTACATTACCTGGGTGTCTTTAAGATTCACTTTCACCTGACAGTGACAATACTGAAGTCATCATTCTGATTCTAAGATGATTTATTTAAAGCCCTTCTCATAGTACATGACACATAGCAAATATCAAACATTTATCATTATCATTAAATGTAGATTTAAAAACTGCATTTTAATACATAATACTTCATTTAATTTTTGCAACAGCTCTGACAAGTATGTTATTTTAAAGTTGATCAACCACAGATTATTTTTCCAAAGCATGCATACACTGTGTAATTTTCCAATCAGGGTAAGCATATCTCTCCTACAACACTTACCATTTCTTTAAGGGAATACATTGAAAATCCTTTTTCTCTTACCTTTCCTGAAATGTACGTGGTCAGCCTACTGTGACTTCTTTTGTTTATAACACTTAATATCCATGCACTGACCTCTCCCCAGCACTGACTGTCTCCTTAGGTCTTGGTAACTGCTGTTTGCCTCTCAGTTCTGAAAAGCACATTTAGTAAACATTACCTCCAGTTTCCAACCTGAGGAAAATAAGGTTTAGGACGGATGCATAACTTGCTTTCTCATCTGCACCGCTGAGCTAATACATAAACTCCAATCATCCAGCCCCGTATTTAGAGCTGTTTTTAAACCTCCTGTCCTGTGTTTGATGCCAAATATGCTTCTCCTAATCTGAAGACAGTGCCCCTATTTCTCCATGACCGAGATTATGCTTCCATGTTCAGAGGTCTCGGAGTGCAGTAAGTTTTGTACCAAATGTTAGCGAGCAGGTGTACAGTGTGTGAATTTTGTTAGTGTCTCAGTAGTGTTTGAGAAACTCTGTAAACGATTATAATTCATATGAAGGATTGTTGCTAGGACCTAGAATTGAAATCTTACATTTAAAATTCAGATAGTGTAAGCACTTTGTTCAGCTTTGTTGCCTGAAGGCAGGTCGGGTTATCCTGGATACCTGCTGGGGCTTTTGGTCTGAATTGTGCTAGTGAATGCACATGTCCTGTGCCCTCTGTCACCCGCTGCTCTCAGCACTTTACATACATTAACGCCTTGATTCCTCATGACAATGCGGTAGGGTAAGCACTGTTACATTTTCATTCCACAGATGGGAAAATTAGGCATAGAAAGGTAAGCAGTTCTTTCTGAATCACAGCAGGCAGCGAGCTGGCTGTGGGCAAGCCATGTGGGGAAGAGTACCAGGCAGCAGCTGACACACCTTCTATCTTTGACAAATGGCAAAGGGGCCAAGGAAGCTAGAGTGGAGCTGCTGGCGTTGGGGGACGGCGGTAGGGGACTGGAGAGAATAGATGCCAGTGCTAGATCACAGACAGCTTCCTGGCCCTGCAAGGATGGAGCTTCCCGCCAGGCTGCGATGAGAAGCGGAGGAGGGCTTTGATTGCAGCGCTGCCGCGTTCTGAGCAGATTTTGCACATGATCCTATGCTACTGCAACAGACCGAACAGGACCACATTTAGAAAATGAGGGTGACTTCAGCTTGGGGTTCTGTGGCTGAATTGGGCAGTTTTAACAATACCTGGAACAATGCCTTGGACTATTCCAGATGGCAGGAAGGGATCTGAACTTTACTACTTCAGTGAGAATTGTGACTCATGTATTAATAGGAAATATAATTATGGGTTAAAATGCCCTTAATTTAGACTTTTAAAATCGATGCCCCGCGCAGAGCTGTGATACATCTTACTTCACAACGTTACCCAGCGCATTGAGATGGCGCTGCAGTCGCTGTAAGTCTGGGTTCTGAAGGAGCAGTGAGAGGAACCCAGGAGCAGCTGTGTGCCTTCCTCACACGCAAGCTCAAGTGTGGAGGAACACTGCATTCTTTACTCCTGAAGTCGTGTCTGCCAACCTGCCACCCGGGGAATACCGGCGTGTTGTTACAAGGTCCCTTCTCAAAGTCTCCTGGAGTATCTGGAGCCTTTCATGCCAGATTCCCACCTTTCAGGGCCATGTCTGATGTCCTGACTGTTCAAACCACTGTCTTCCCGGGCTCCTAGGCTGAGCGTGGGAAGTAGACATCTTGGCTTCTACCCGCGGCCCCACTGCAGCTTCTGGGTGCTGCGTGGTGGTGGCTTTGCCACTTCCTGAGAGCTGACAAGAGGCAGGTTTCTCCACTCCCGGGCACGGCTTCCCTCTGCTCTTCATGGGGTGGATTCTTCTCTCCTCTCTGCTGACTCTCCAGAGTGGTTCACTTTCTTCTCTTAGGCTTCACGTTGCTTAGCAGAGTCTCTGTATGAAAACAGAGAAAAATGGCAGGCATGACTCGGGCTCATCTTTAGAACTGTGAGACAGAGGGGAAATCTGAAGATTTTCTGCATGCAGTGAAGTAAGAGACAAAAAAGCATGAGGGGAAAAAACCTACTAACACTTCAATAAATGATGTTATAAAGAACCAATCAAACCAAAGAGAAATCAAAGGGTGAAATTTAACAGCAGGGCAATTGCAAAGCCTCCTCACTGCCCAAACCAGAGGAGGAATTCAGATTTACAAGTTAAATGTGTGTATTTATTTTTACCACTATAGTCAAGAAAAAAACTTGTATAAATATTTTAATAGTAAATTTATTGAGACATCTTGAGATTAATGTGAGTTATTTTGGTCTCTGCAATCACACAAAGTACCTAAAGTGGGGGGAGGGCATTTAGCGTCCAGACATTTGCTAGTATGGTGAGCTAGCTGCCTCAGTGTGTATGCATTTTTGGCGCACTCTGTACATCCATGAATATTTGATTTAGAGAAACAGTGCTACTATATTTTTACAATGCTTTGGAGCAGCTCGTGAGTAATGTAACTAAGTCTGCGCTATATTGAAAGATGGAAAATGCCCAGATGGCAGGGTCACTGTGGAAGGCTCCCCAGAAAGGCAATTTCAAATAAAATGTGTGGAGCGTGGGGCCATGAGCTCTGGCGACGTCCAGAGGCAGCTGTCTCCAGGAGGAGGAGGACCCGCTGCAGAAGCCTGGCTCACGCTGCGTGCAGCATGGCTGACTGGCGAAGACCATGGCGGGAGATGCGGTAGAGTGTTCCAAGAGGGTCATTCAGGGTTAGGAGAAGACAAAGCAGGCAGTGAGGACCTGTGAGCAGACGGAGGTGACCTGATGTGTATGTGACAGTGGTATCTGGCTGCCGCGCTGGGGCTGGAGAGTAGGAGGACCACGGCCAGGGACTGGAGAGCAGTAACACAGCCCGGGGCCACTGCCATCCAGGGTGGAGCTCCTGCTGCGGTGTGGGTCAGAGTGGCTTTAGGATGCATTTTCAGTATCTTACCAAAAGGACTGGCTGAGAAGTTGCTGATGTGAAGAGTAACAGGTGCATGGGCCGCCTTGGTCTGCGAAAGCGAAGGACAGTGGTACCGTCTACGGCAGCTGGAGAGACAGAGGAGGGGATGGGCGGAGATTGCAGTTTCTGTCTGGGTCTGTTAGATTGGAGGTGCTGATGACACGCAGCATGTGGACACTCAGGTGTGGAGTCCAAGGGAGACCTGAGTTCAGCACATCTGTTTTCAGTGCTTGGACACTTCTTACAGTGACACTGACGGAATAAAATGAACTGGATGGGATCACCAAGGAAGGGACACAGCTAAAAAAGGGAAGACAACAGAAGTGGAACTCTCTAACTTCGAGGAGCTAGTATGGTCAGCCAGGGGACAGAAGGAGGAATGCTAGAAGAAAATATGTCTGTGAAGAAAGTCTCCCCTATCCGCTGCTACTGAGAGCTCTAGGTAAATGAGGTGAGGGCCCTTCCTCCGAGTTAGTGACAGGAAGAATCGTATATGTGATAAGAATCTAGGCGTGCATGTGTGTGAGATGAGAAAAACCTAGGAGTGTGTGTGTGTGAGAGAGAGAGAGACAGAGAGAGAGAGAGAGAGAGAGAGAGAGAGAGAGAGAGAGAGAAAGAGAGAGAGGCAGAGAGAGACAGAGAGAGAGACAGAGAGAGAGAGAGAAAGAGAGAGAGACAGAGAGAGAGAGAAAGAGAGAGAGAGACAGAGAGAGAGAGAGAGAGAGAGAGAGAGAGAGAGAGAGAGAGAGAAGAATCCTGGTGTGTGCACATGTGCATCTTCCTAGGAGACCCTGCCCTGCATTCTCCTGGCAGGCAGAGTGGAGGTGGGAGGCCTACAGTCCCCCCCTGGGCTCCAGGAGGCAGCCTCTTCTTCCTCAGTGGGCAAGGCAAACCTCACTGTTTGCTCTGACCTTTGGACGGGAACATGCAAGTAGCTGCTTCTGGGTTCCATAAGTTGTTACTTGTTTGTTCACTGGTGACACCATCTTGCGAATTTCATCTGATGCTAGCTGATCTTTCTTTGCCTTTCTACATATTTAATTCCATGGATTCTGATGGAAAACAAGTCCAATGATCAACTTGAAGCTGTTAAGTTATTGTAATTTACGATTTTTCCATAAATATTTCACCAGTTTGTATGAGATGACATTGTGATATGTCAGAGAAGGCTGATTCGAAGTTTGAATTTGAAATGAGAAAAAAGAGGTCGCAATCAATGGAGACACGAATCCTGAGTGTGTGGCCTGAGTAAATAGTCTAATACGAAGGATCTGTGCAGACGGTCTTGGGGATAATCAGCGTGCACTTACAGTGTTACATGTTCAGTGCTCAGTCTATTTTGCAGTCAGACGGTAAGTACGGCAGTGTCTGGGGAAGGACCCTTTACAGAGTGCTCACCCAGCCTTTCACTGTGGGGATGCTTATCTCCTTCATTTACTTACATCACTCGCTCTGCACTACAAAGTGCTAAGTTAGCGTTACAGTACTCCTGCTTTTACTGATGATGAAGAGAAAGCCATCCTGGTGAGCACTTTTGGCTCAGTGACTCGGACTGGCTCTGAGCTGACCAGTCCCTGTGACAAGGGTCTGCTTTAGTGGCATTCATCACACATGTCAAAAGCTCCGCACCAGTTCTGGAATTTGTGCAGAGCCATGCGAGGTCACTTTCTGCTCAAGCCTGGGACTGGGAAGCAGAAAACCAAATCTGTGGTTCCACCTCTTAACTGCAGTAACGTCTGAACTTGCTGAAACTACTGAACATTTCTGATCGTCAGGGCTTTTATATGAAATGTCAGGGTGAGCCCGCCTGTCCTGTCTGCTCTATGGAGTAGATGGGAGGCGTAAGTGGTTTAAGGATGTAGAAACCTCCTTTTTCTCTTACCGTTTCCCGGCTTCTCCTCCACAGCATGCGGGCACTATTTAGTTTCCTCTGTGTTTCTCTCCCACTCTCCCCTTGCCTCGCTAGATATTCTTACACGGTAACAACCTGAACAGTTTGCACCAACTGATTCACCCCGAGATCCTGCCCTCGGAGTTTGGAGGAATGCTGCCCCCCTATGACATGGGGACGTGGGCAAGGACACTGCTGGACCACGAGTATGACGACGACAGTGAATACAACGTGGGCTCCTATGGCACTCCCGTGAAGGAGGTGGAGAAGGAGCTGTCCCCCAAGTCCATGAAGAGGTATGGCCCAACTCCACGTTGTACCTTTTTCCTGTGTGTGTATGTTTCTTTTCCTGCTGGGATGTTGAAGCCATTCATGCATCCATGAGTCGGTGTCTAAAGAGTTTTCAATAATAGATAAAGTTATTTTGTCAGAGTGGGAACATCAAGCATTTACTGTCTTCCAGTAGTGTCCAGCATTCTTCCCTGTAGTCACCACACTGAGCAATAGATCCCCCGGACTTCCCCTCTCTGCTTGGAACCTTGCACCCCAGCGTCCACGGCCACTGGGGACCACTGTTCTCTTTACCATGTCAGAGGTCATCTTTAGATCCATCTACAGGTGAAGTCGTGAAGTATTTTGTCTGTTACATTGAGCCATAAGTCATTATTATCTGTCGACATTTTATAAAGATAAAGTCACTCAGAGTAACCTCAACTTCATTTGGTTCCAAACTCATGGTCAGCTTCTCAGGGGCTTCAGAGGCCACCAAATTCAGTGGCTTTCTGACTGTCACTCTGAAGCACTGAGACTTCCGAGGGAGAGCAAGCCCAAGAGTTGGGTGGGTGTCCTCATTCCTTGTGACTGATGCTAACAGCTTCCTTCCATCTAAGAAGTTTATCAGAATTCTGAGGAGGGTTTCCTGGGAAGAAAGAAGTACAGAGGTGCACACACACACACACACACATACACACACACACACCCCACAGACACACACGTGCACGCGCACAGAGACACCCACACCCCCCAAAGCACACTTTCCGTCAGGGCTTCTGTTACGTGCCACATCTTTGTCAGAAGGTGTAACCATTGCAGGTGCGGAGTGTCCTATTTTCTTGCCACTTTAATCTCTGTAAAGTTCGTTGTTGAGTCAGAGGCCGACTGCCTGCTTCTCGCTGACACTTCTGTGCCTGTTTGCTTTCCTTCAGCAGAGGAGTCGCAGACTCACAGAAACACGTCGCTGCTCCAGGTCCAGCAGCAGAGAAGATGTCTAGTTCCCAGGGTTCCTGGGCCACAGGGTCTCAGAATTCAGTTGAATAACGGGTGCAAATATTACTCTTTTGGCTCATTTTTAGAAACATAGGAGCTACAGATCTGGCAAGTGGCCCCCACCTAGCTCAAGGACAACAAGACCTTTTACTTATGCCAAACCCTGCCAGCTCCATCCTGATGAAAGCCTAAGGTCCTTTGGTCAAAGCTGTGGTCCGTGAGGTGACATAATCCAATCCTCAAAGCTGGGGTCTGTGATAGTGCTGTTGCTGCCATTGTTTGTGTGTGTGTGTGTGTGTGTGTGTGTATGTGGTGTGTGCGTGAAACAACTCTCTCTCTATACACTATGATTTCCCCACCAGGCAACAAGTTTACCTTTAAACCACTTTTAAGCTTTTCATCTCTTTCTTGAAGCAGAACTGCCTAAGTAGAGATCTCCTGTGTCCTCCCAACCTAAAGGGGGTTTTGCTGGGCTCTCAGAGGATTCTGCTGAAAGCTAACAGCTATGTGCAAGTTCTCTACATTTGTGCGTAAGTGTCTGTGTACACACATGTAATGCATTTTTTCTGGAAAAGACGTGTCATCGAATTCTCAGAGTTTGAAAATAAAGAATCCTTGAAGGCAAATGTCTGTGGATAACTTTCCTCTAATCAAAGTGATTTTAATAATAGTAATTATTACAGTCTATGATTTTTAAAAATTTTTTAATTTTAAAGATAATAAAATCCAACAAACCACAACAGAATAAAGCCAGTCAAAACAAAGCAGCAAAACTGGTGCAGAACTTCAAAGCAGGGTCCTAGGAAACCACAATGGCTACCATAGTGTGCTTGTTATCTTCACAATAGTTGTCCGTTTTATCGGGTATAGCAAAATTAAACCAAAACAACACAGAATAAAATCAATCAAAACAGAATATTGAATAAAGCAAAACAATCGGAACAAAACAAAACAGTGAAAGCAATATTGGATTTCAAAGGCAAGACAGAAGGAAAGCCCCCATATTTGCTATACTGCATCCGGTCATACTCCTAAGAGGTGCTTAGACCGCTGGCCCCAGGCCTGTGAAATCAACCAAACAATACAAGCATTTAGTTGCTATCAACTCAGGCTGTTCTCGGAACCCGCTGGTTGCTTGGGGGGGCGGGGGCAGGTGGGAGGGTGTTTGATTCTCAGCCCTCATGTTTGTCTTGTCGGCTCAGGGGAGGTACTGTCTGACTTTTCTCTTCCTTGGTCCCACATGGCTTGCACTAGGCTGGCTAGTTGGCTTCTTGGCAGGCTCCTCCCAGTCCCAGCATGGTCAATTCTCAGGTGGCCTGTCATTTACTATGTCCTCATCGTAAGACCCCAAGTAGGTGGTGTTCAGTAATTCACTTAGTGCTCACTGCAGCCCTGTGAGATGCTTCACATTCTCAGAACTAGAGTCTGTGTCTAGCAGAGTGGCTGCAGCTGCCAGCCATGGAGCCTTCCTCGTCACTGATACTGAGCTGTTCTCCCTAGTGTGGCGCAGGCTCCTTTCCTCTGGAGTGAGCTGCAGAAGGACTGGAGGCCAGTGCCCTGCGATGCCGCCTCACTGTCTCCCTGCCAGCCAGCACAGACTTTTTCCTGCAGCCGTTTCCCCTCTGATTGGTCCCCTCACATAATCTCCACACAGGAACACAATGGAATCAGATCATTTCCTGACTCTGATTTAAGTTTTCACATGCCTGAGTATTGTATGGTAAATACCGTCAACTCTGTCATGCAGCCCGCTAGGTGCCGCAGGATCAGGCCCTGCCCGTGGTACTCCCTGGGTGTGGCTCACCTTGTTCCTCTCACCGCTCTGTGTGGATGCAGTGGCTGCTGCTGTGCCCCTCAGCCTCTCCAGCACGTCACTACCTTGTCGCTGCTGCCTGCAATGCTCCTTTCCTGAACTCTCAGAGGGCCAGTCTTGGGCAAAGATCACCTCTCAAGAGTCTCTTGGTCTTTCTTGACCAGCTGGGCTCAGTCCTGTCTGGGGCTCCTGGTTCTGTTTCCTTCCTTCTGGATGCCCTGCTTTACTTTTCTCCCAGTGCAAAGGAGTCTGTGAAATGGTTTCTTCTCTTAAATTGGACCTCACCCCTCCCCAGGGTCACCTTCCTGGAGGCCATGGTGGTGCTCTGTCCTGCTTCCCAGGACTACTTCCCAGGACTGGTTCATCAGAAAGAGTCGGCAGTGGCCTCCAGGACAGCAGTGGCAGTGCCAGCAACTGCAACCTAGTAGTATCGCAAGGGTCAGACTGTACCTACTCGAGTGTGAACAGCAAACTCAGAGGGAGCCACTGATGGGACCACATCTCTTCTTCGTTCAGCAGGAACCTGCTGAGCACCCTCCTCACTCTCGCCTCTGAGTTTTTCCCGGCGACCTTATTTTAACGGATCAGCATCATCTCGGTGGATTTGGCTCAGTCTTCACACCTTCTGGAATAATTTAGGATCTTTATTCTGTTTTCCAAATAACTAGGTCATTTTGTCCCCCTGTAGACATGGTGAACAGCGAGTGGCCTCTGCCCCAATCCTGTTTCATGTTTCTGTTGTGTGCTGGCTTGAATTTTCAACATCCTTTCTTGCTTTGATGTAGGCTTTGTATCATACGAAGCTTTTATAATTCTGTTGACAAAATACTAGAGAATTTCAGTAAACATGGTCAGTAGGAGTTGTTTCAATGGGGTCCCTCCTTTTCTGTGTCCAGCAATCAGTTTCCCACCAAGGGCTGGTGCAGGTTGTCCCTGCCTTCTGCTCTGACTCCCCTTGGCCGCTGCCTTTTTCAGTTTCTTATGAATCCTAGAAAATCATTTCTTCTCCAAAGCTGGATGGTAGCTCTTCTGGTAGGCATATTCATCCGAATAGAAGACAGCTTTCCCCTCCTGTGTAAGTTGGTGGAAGGAGAGGAGAGTTACACGCAGAGACAGAGCTCAGTAGACTGCGAGTGCTGTGAGCTGGGGTGCCTTCCACCTACCCCTTCAGTTCTTAGGAAAGTCCCGGGCGTGTGCTGGTTGCGGTGTGCTGCAGGGCCTGTGAGCTGCAAGGACACGAACCAATTCTACTGTGCCATATTCCACACTCCTGCTACTCTGTGATAAGCCCTGCTGTAGTTCTTCCGTATTTATTGACTCATTTGCTTCTTGAAGCAACTCGTAAGTAAGTACTATCTTCATTTTGTCAATGAGGAGTAGAAGGTACAGGGCGTAAGTGACTCCTACTGCGTGCATAATACAAAGTAGCGATGTAATTTCACGGGTAATCGTGTTCTGTGAGCACTTTCTCATGTTTTGTGGGTCGTTTTCTTAACCACTGCCATTCACCATCTGCCAGAATTTGTGCTGGGGTGCAGGCACGTGCCACTGCCTCTGATCCGGAAGTTACAGGATCAGTAATTGTTATGATAACAACCAGAATTGAAATAGAGCTCTCCAGACTCTTGCTCTGTAAAGACTTTGGTAATGTTGGAGGTGCATAGTAAGTATCTGAGTACTGGACAGCTAAACTTAGCCTAATGCTTTTCAAAAGAGACATCGGAGTGTTTTATGGTAGACAGCTGGTGTGATGGGGACACCCTGGGGTGTTAACTCTGTTGCAGCTCACCGATAGGTACGAGCTCACACAGCACCCTGTTCTGTCAAGAAAGGGAGGAAGAAATCTGGAATAAAGAACCATATACTCAGAGCAATTAAATGCCAAAACCATCCTATTTGCAAAAGGTTTCCATGTGGCTTTTTTCCCTCTCTGAAGGTGTATTCTACGTGGGAGCAGCATTCGTCAGACAGTTCTGCTCTCTGTAGTGCTGAGAAACACAGACTGGATGTTTAAGCCCCACTTTAGTAATAGTTCAAGACAACTGAAAGTGTCTTGAACTATTTTGTTAAAATTGCCATATACTTTCTAGTACATTTTAAAAGGTCAGGATACATGCGTACTTTTAAAGAATATGTGTGTGTGTGTGCGTGCGTGTGTGCGTGCGTGTGTAGGTGTGTGTGCCTGATTCAGCAGAATGCAAATACACATTCTGCACCTGGTGCTGGGGGACGAGCTTTGGCGTCCACTCACTGAATGTGATCTTGATAGGCTTCAGCATTTACATGATAGGTGTGATGTCTGAGAAGAACTCGTCAGATTCCCTGAAGAATTTCTTTCCCCGTTACCACATTACTGGGTGTATCGAATGCCTCACACTGCACTGGGGCTCCCTCAGGGTGCCAAGGAATCATCGGGCAGATGATTCCCAGTGGAGGCACTGACATCCCACTCTGTGTCACCCCCAGGGCTCTGTGCCGCTCCTCACTGCTCTCCTCTCTCACTAGCTGCCTCTCTGAACACGTGTGGACAGGGAACTACAGTCAGTCCCTTTCTGAGACAGCGGCGAGTGCCTAATTAATATTCATATACAGTGCTGAAAATTACCTAGAAAACAAAGCCTCTGCTTTTGTTGTTGTTTTCACCTTTATTTTACTGTATTTGCTATTTGGAAACAAATGAAGGAGTCCTTTGCCAGTCCGTCCCCATTGCTGGTTTCACAGAGGATGCCCTGGCTGCTTCTTTCCATCAGCTGGGCAGCAGTCCTGCAACTAGCAGGCTTTTCCCGAAAGTTAATGCAGTCTGCGGAGGGGTCTCCCACGCTAGAGCACAGGGGAATAACTCCTGCCCAGGAGGATTTCACAGGGCAGCTGCTTCCTGGGTGCTGACCTCTCTGTCAGGGCTGCAGCTTCCTGCCTCTGCTCTCCTGGGGATCTCTCATTAAGAATGGGGCAGATTATCATCTGCTATCAGAGCACCACAAGGGATTTGCAGGTTATGTGCTTTCCTAATTACAGAGTGTGCCAAAATACAAGTTTTAACTTTTTAAAAAAGTGACCACTTCTTGAAGCTTTCAAGATGAAGGCTGACTTCATTTGCTTGTTCTAGTGGGAAGTTTAACAACAATCTTACCCAAGGTTTGATTTTTTTAAGCCAAGCATGATGCTTATAATCCTGGCACTAGAGACTGAGGTAGGAGGATCACTCTGAGTGTCTTAGTTACTTTTTACTCGTCGCTGAGACAAAATACCTGAAGCCCAAAGTTGGGAAAGGAAAGGTTTATTTCTTACAGTTTTTGGAGGTTTCAGTCCACACTCAGTTGGCTCCAAGACAGGCAGGCATGGCTGGGCTGCAGTTCATGGCGGCCGCCAGCAGCAAACTCGAACCAACAAAAAAAGAAAAACACACCTTCTTCCTGCCATTACATCACATCCTGGCTCCAACCCTATGTGGGTGGAGCACTAACACCATCAATCCAAGCACTATACAATGAACCATCACAAATGAGCAATGCAAACTCATGAGGCCTGGGGGACACAAACACAAACCATGACACTGAGTTCGAGATCAACCTAGGGTACATAGTTCAAAGCCAACTGGAACTATGTAGTCAAACTGTCTAACCAACCAAACTAAGTAGCCAAATACACTGTAACAACAGCAAAACAACAACAATGAAAAATCAACTATTTGTTGATGTAATCATGTTTACAGAAAAAGGTATGTTCTTGTTAAAGATGTTTTTAAAGGCAAACATCATTTGCATTCAACTTTTAACATTAAAACAACTTACAACACCTCTCATTTCCATTCCGCACGTGGCCATCATTTCACTGTGGCACTTCTTTCTCTATGGAGATGTTGTACTAGAAAGCATCTCTTCTACACAGAAATTCTCCACGTCTCAAAGGAAAATCTCATGCAGTTGTGGCGAGGAGAGTGAACCTGTCTTACTGTCTGCTTGGAATCCTTCACTCTGTTACTGAGAGGCCAGAGGGTTTTGTTTCTTGGCTCAGATGCAGGGCATCACCCTGAGCATCTCCCTGAATGTCTGATATCCACAGTTCAAAATCCCTTAATGAAGATCTCACCCAACTGCAGGGAATGCACAGGAGGGAAACACAGAGGTGTATGTTGTCCAGGTCATTGCTGGGCGACCTGACTGACTCTGCCTCTGCCTTGCAGGTCCCAGTCCGTGGTGGATCCCACGGTTCTGAAGCGCATGGATAAGAATGAGGAGGAGAACATGCAGCCTTTGCTATCTCTGGACTGAGAATTTCTTTGTACCCACGGCATGAGTGGAGGTGGAAGGTACTAGATTGCAGCTGCAGGCACAGCGCTGCCGAGGACCTGGGCTGAGTGGGAACTGTATTTATTCCTATTAATGTAGCAGAATATATAACAAGGCACCAGGCATTCTCGTTTGCCTGAACCATGGGTGCCCTGGGCTGTATTTTTTTTAAAGTCAATAATTTATTCTGTAAGTGCCAAGTTCTTTGTAAATACAATGTAATTTCATGTCAAGTTTGTAAATTTTGGTAGTAATTGAATTTGGGGAAGATTGACATAAAAGTCTGAGCCAGAGATATGAACTAGAAGAAAAAGTAGAAAATATGCAGAAGCTATCAACACGGATTAAATGTGGCCCTGTTTCCTATGAAGCCGTATTTCTGCTGTCATGGAGAACTGTCATTACTGCTTCCCTCTACAGCTTTGTAGACACAGGGAACAAAGTCGTTCTAGAAAACGAGGACTTCATCGCCATGGCCGGATGTAGAGATTTTCACTTCAGAGGAAAGGTAACCCTGGACTCTTGCAGGCTTTGCACTGGGGACCCCGAGGGTGGCAGATGGGCAGGTGGAGGAAACGCGTGAACTCACGGCTGCTCTTCAGTTCCCAGAGTCCTGGGAGCAGATTTGTTCCACACGTCAGCTTCGGAATCCTTCGAGACCACTGTGGTCACAGCCCTGACGTAGTGTGTCTGACGTTCTTTAAGAATTCTTCCCTCTAAAACTCTTCAAGCAAGGAAAAGAGAACTCATATGCAAACCATGTTTTGACAGCCAATCCTGAACATGAAATTTGCCACTTACAAATAAGGGGCTAATTTCTCATTATTGTGCACCTGCTGAAAATACACACACACACACACACACACACACACACACACAGAGCACATATATTTTTACTCAGTGCTAATAAATCCCTGGTGTAACAGGCTTATAAAATAAATCATACATATTAAAGGTTTTAGAGATGTTATAGATAATTACACGGGATGCTAACTGGAAAACCACTGCAGTTAATGAAAATGAGAGACAATGAAACAGACTTTAGTGTACCTATTGAAGGGAATTCCAGTATACTTTATAATGCTGTCTTGAATGCGTGCCACTTTAGTGAAATATATTTTTCCTTAAAAGAAGCAACAGATCTCAATATAAGTATCAGGTGAAAATAAAATTTTTTCTCAGACTCTAGTGTTGCTATACTTCACATTTTCTTTTTCAGAAAAGACTGAAAGAATACACTCCTTCTGGAAGCACTTCAGAAGCATGTGAGGGTCTCTAAAATAGAAGAGCTGTTAAAAGATGTGAAATCTGTACATTGTTTAAAGTTTTATTCCAAAATTTTGCAAGTACAAGTTTTAAATCCTATTTTAACTTTTAAACCCCAGTGTGTAAAAGTAAGATCACTTTTTCAGCATATGAATTTTTATTTTTACTTTTTTATTTAATTATTTTTTGAGACAAGTCTTGCTATGTAGTACAGGCTGGCCTTGAACTTGCTTATGTAGCCCAGGCTGGCCGGGAGCTCACGGTGTTCCTCCTGTCTCATCCTCCCGAGTGCTAGGATTACATGTGTGTGCCACCATGCCTGGCTCAACATAGGGGTTTTGAGTTTAACAATTTAGAACGAATTCTTTGGGGAAAAAAATCTCCAAGAATTATTGGTAATCAAAACAAAAGTAAAAGCGTGCAAGAGCTTTTGCACACTTTCAGATGAGAAGTTCAGAAATTCTGGTTATAAATCGATAGCCAAAAATCTTCAAATCAGTATTCCAATCAGTGTATCAGTGTTTCAGTGAAATAGGCTTGTTAAAGTACATTAATCACCAGGAATCAAAGAGACTTTAAGACTTTAAGAACTTCCAGTCATAAATTTGAGAGACTGCTCTCACCGTCCTTACAGAGCTTGGAAACACTGGGGGTTGGAAGTTGTAGCAGGCCTTACAAGGACCTGAGCACTGGTGGGCCTGATGAGTGTGGCTCACTGGCGTGTGAACTGTAGACCTGGGCTTTGATTCCACATGGCTGTATGTAAGCAGTATGACTCTTTGGAATAAAACAGAAGTAATTTAACTACAGCAGGGCAATAGCTGCTCTTTCCCATGAGTTTCTCTTGATGTACTACATCTATGGCCGGTTTTCAGGATCCTGCCAGCTTCCAATGTCAGCCAGCTCAGAGTTTCTCCCCTCTGTCACACAGTTAGAGTCATCTGTGAAAATAGCTAGTCTTGTTTACACTGTCTCTCTTAACCCACATTTGCAATTTTCCATTGGCACTGCTGCGTGTCTGCTCTTCTCCAAATGAGCAGTGGAATGTTGGCTAGATTTTTTTAAATATTTAAAAGTGAATGAAAAACTTACAGCACTAACTTTTGAAATTGCTCTCTCCAGTTCAGTCTGTGACTCTGCTTGTCTCCCAGCAATGTTTTTGAAGCTGCTTCATCAAGGGACCTTCATTCAGCTTTATGATTTGCCCTCAGCACAGCGAGCCAGCACCGGGCAGGCATATTTTCCCCTCTGTGGCTGAACAACCTTGTGAATGAGCAGCCCATCTACATTTTTCCCTTTAACTACAGTGACACAGCTGTGCTCACAGACACACACACCCAGGACGTGTCTGATGACTTTGCTTCTGTATTTTGAGAGCTATGCATTAATTTGGAATAGTCCATTAATCCATTGGCTCTTTTTTGTTTTCCTCAGTCCCAGAGCTCAACCCCAGGGCCCTGTGCATGCCAGGCAGGCGCTCTACCCCGAGCTCCTCAGTGCATCTGTTCCCATCTCTCTCCCTGCCTGCACCAGCTTCTAGTTTTCATTTCTTTCTTTTGGTTGTTTCAGGGCAGCTGCTTCCAAAGCAGGTCTAAAAATGAATTACCCCCCACCATCATGTTGTCAGTGATATTTGCACAGGTTTTTGAATACTATATGAAAAGATTATCATAAAATATATGCTAAGAAATATGAAGAAGTGCCTCTTTGAAAATAGAATAAAGCAGTGATACTGGCATATAGATTTTATTTGTGCTGTCTCCTAAAAAGTCAGTACGTGCACCTATACTAGAAGGGTTACACAGATACCATTTGAAGAAGGTCATTTAAGGGTTTGCTCTGAATATTCTCATACAGTATTAAGTCTTGTGTGTATTTGATACAGTAACTTTGATCCATGCTATTTACAAACCTGGCATTATGCTAATATAATGTACAAGTGTCAAATAGAGTTTCCCAGCAACTTTCTGAAGTGGACATGCATGATTTCTTTTATTTGACTAATTGCTTTATAAGTGTAAGCATTCTGTAAGTCTTTTCATATAAAATGCTTGTTTATGGTATTAAAATTCATACATTCATAAACAGAAGAGTCAAGCAAATGGACTCATCTTCGTACTGCTAACTTGGTCACATTGTTAAACATTTACAATGTCTGTAATACTCCTGAGCAAACAGAATTCTCTCTGTTGTATCACAAAGATGGGGCATTGTTTTGGGGAACATGTTTATGACTCGAGGAAACCTTTGGGGCCCCAGCAGTCGGTCTTCCAACCCGGCCTCTGCTGCTTCTACAAAGAACCTAAAGGTTTCTGAAATGTCCGTGATCATTTGAAGAAGCTACATCAAGAAAATCTGCGGAGAGGCTGCACATTCTTGTGTTGTTTTATTTAAGATCTGCTTTGTCTGGTTGGTTAATAATGTGTCTTTCTTTTTTGTATATATGTTTATGAATGATTCATAGAAAAGTTGCCATTAGCCGTGGCAATATTCCAGAAAGATTTCACCACAAAATAAACTGAGAAGAGTTCTGGTGTGGTGCCTGAAATTTAGGTATGGTGCGTACACAGGTGACACCAGTGAGTTCAAGAGCATATATTCCATTTTAGAGCTGCTGTATAGATAAATATCATCAAACATAGTAGCATATTTTAGATTTGGGAGCACATTAGATGGCTCAAGAGTAAGTGGAATACAAACAGATGAATGGGAGCAAAAGAAAATTGGGAGCAAAAAAAATTGGGAGCAAAAGAAAGATTTTTCCCCTTATTTTACATTAGCTGAAAAGGCAGCTTCTCTTTCATATGCTGCTGGGACTATGTGGCATTATTTATTACTAGACAGGGGCAAGTAAGTACAACACAGAGGGTCCTGGGCTTTGCAACATCAGGAGATCACAAGCAATGTGCAGAACTGAAACACTGTAATTAGACCTTTTCTTCAAAAAAGATGGAGTACAAATGATATTGCTAAATAAAAAGATATTTAGAAGCCAAGCAATTATAGACACAACAGTGTACTTTTATAGTACATTTTCAATGGTTTTTTTTATTTTTATTTTTTTATTTTTTTTCTTTCTTTTTTTAATTTTATTTAAGGAGAAAAGAAAAAAAAAGCAGGGAAAGGGTACAAGTTATACAGATTTACAGAAAAAAAATGAACAGTAGGAAATCACTAGTTAATGGATTACATATTGTCATCTTAGAAATAATTGTTCAAGTCACAAAATTAAAGCTTGTAAAGTGGACATTCCATCAATGATACTGCAAACAGTTCTGTTCATTGATCCAATAAAACTCTGTGATATCATTTTCTATCTTATACACTTAAATATACATGCAGTTATATAGTTTGGAGGACTTTCTTTTCCTCTCTTTTGTACCATGACTATCACACATTTTGGGTGTCATTGCTCCCACGGTTCTTATTACTTTTTTGGAAGAGAGTAAAACCAAATGTGACATAACAGAACAGAATCGGTCAAGTCAAAAGGGTGGACATAATAGATAATGTAAAAACATAATACAAGGTGATCAACAATGGTTACCAGAATGCCTCCTGCTATCTCTAATAGAATTGCCTATATCGTAAGTTATAATACAATTGAACAAAACAGTAAAGAATAAAACCGACAAAACCAAAACATTGGAGACATTGTAGGTCTTCAAAAGTAGATAAAAGTCAACAAGAATGGGCGTCATAATGAATCTCATTATCTTCACAGCTGATGCCTAAACTTTCGAACCTGATACTATCCAGCAAAACAGAATAGGGGAACATCAGTTAAAAACCAGATGGTGAGAGTAATACAGGGCTTTAAACCAAGGTAATGAAAAGTCAAAGTGGGTTACTATAATATATCCTGCTATTTTTTTCCTTTAATTAAAAGGATAAAAATAAAAAAGTAATTAATGGAGTGGAGATTGAGATAAAAGAGGGCATAACAACGAAACAGCGCAGATCAAAACATAACCATTTAAGCAGAATAGTGTTTCACCACCAGATAATCCTAACCTAAAAGTAGTCACCATATTGTCTCTTTCTTTGAAATCCTTGAGTACAACTTCATATACTGTAGCATTAAGTATATCAAAACAATGTAAAACCATTCAAGAGAATGACAGCATTACAGAGTATTTAGAATCGACTAACAGAAAATGAATAATGGTTTCTGTATAATCTCCTTGTCTTTAAAAGGTTTTTGCTTATACTATCATACATAATAAAATCCAATAAGATACAGCCTATTTAGACCATTGGAGACAGAAGGACAAAAGCTAGATGAGACTTCAAAACAAGATGATACTAAATCAGTATTACCTATTAAGATGTCATTTTCTCCAAAATAGCTGTTCCTATCATCCAATCTTCTCTGCCTCATTTCTGTTGAGCTCTTTTTCTGTCAGTAGCTGTCAGTTTGTCTTCTTCATTTTGTTCTCTGCTCCCAATGGTTTTTTTTTTAACAGTTTAGAAGGTGTTTTGTCACTATCTAACTTAGCTTTAAGCCCGAACAAAAACATTTATGTTCTTAATGATATAAGTACATGAATTGTATCAAAATTATTCTTTTGGTAAACAAAATAGACTTAAATGAAAACCAAACTAAATTTTGACAAATCTTCTAAGCATGAACCAGTCCCACATATTTGAAAAGCTGTAATTAGCATATGCGTTGCAATACTTAAAGCAATGTCTTGTTTCTAATCCAGCTTTTTACTTAACAGTATAAAACCTCAAAAACCAAACAATTTCTTTAAAGTTACCCCAGAGGAAATTATACCAGCTTCTGGAGACCCCTAAGTGTACTATTTATTCTCTGACGTAGCTCCTGTCCCTGTTTATGTGCTGCCACTCACTGTGTGACTCCAGGGAGTCACTCCACTGTAAATATAAAATATTTGAGTAAATCTAAGTTTCTATTTATTTATTTTTTACACTTCTATTTTTTTTTTTTTTTTGTCTTTTTCGTTTTTATCGGTACCAGAGATGGAACTCATGACTGCCTGCTTGCAAGGCAGGTGCTTATGCCGCTGAGCTAAATCCCCAGCCCCGACATTTCTATTTTTAAAAAGCATTTATTTTACATATGGTAGACCTGGAATTTGGAGGTACTTTACTTGTCACATCTAACACAGAATCTAGAACTGACAGTGACTTTAATTTGAAAGAAGTTACTGGTTATTTAGGTTGGGATAGCTGAAGTTTTCTAATGTTTGTATTTGGGAGGCTTAAGTGGGAGCTACATAATTTGTTTCATCAAAATGACATTCAGTACTCGGTAACTTCTAGACTAACTTTCAAAAGCCATTTTAAGTGAGGGGTTTAACTTTTAAGTTAAACATGCATAGAATTATCACCAGCTGGGAGAGCTAAGATTTTTCAGCTTCCCACACCAAACTGTTGGGGATTTGACAAGAGACTAAATTCGAAAATTTGAATTACCAAAAAGTTCCATGATGATTTAAATAAATCCTGTTGAAAATAATTCTGGGTCAAAATATTAAGTGAAATTTAAAAAAAATTCAGCCACATTTAAGAGAAAATGCTTATTTCCTAAATATGAATGTGTGTTTTGTGACTTTTCCTCACTCCAGTGCGTGAAAAGTTGCCTCACGAGGTAAGAGAGCGCTCAGTAGCACCTACTCAAATCTTCTGAAGTAGATGCACCACTCAGCCCCTACCAGGGACTTTCCTGTGCACAGCTTTGAGTGTATCGGGATGTTATTTCTGCAGACCCCTCCTAGGGCGACTTTACAGCAGCAGCTTCAAAAGTACCCAGGGAGAGCATCAAAAGTGGGCTCCTTCTCTGGGAGCATCAAAGAGAAAGTATTTTTAATTATAACACAGAAAACAAATTTGAAATGCCAAGTGTTTCTGAAATGAGGAACTGAAGACTTGACCAGAGAGAGGCAGCCGGGAGGATGGAGGTCCGGATGCGGGCTGAGTTCCGGCACAGGGACAGCACCCCCGGGAGCATTTACCCCAAGCACCTTCTCTGCAAACGAAGTGCGACCCTTCTCTCTCTTTTCTTCTCTCTGAATGCTGCCTAAGGGATCATACAGAAACCGCACACAGCTTTCTTGTTGCCTTTGAAGAAGAAAACGCTCTGTCCTTACATAAGCACAGTTCACTTCATTGTGTGTGGCTGAGACATTTGCATGTTGTGCACAGTGTCATGCAACAGCTTTAAAAATATAATTATATAAAGTCTCAGTGCTGAAAGATGATGAAATGTTCATCGTGGCTGAGATTCAGAGAAAATATTGGCCTTATCCTTTGTTCTGCACTCACGTACCTACCATTTTACTTGGATGTCCAGAAGATCTCAAGTTCCATTTTTAATTACCAAACTTCTCCCTTTGCATCCTGAACCTGCTTCTCCTTTTGTTTTCTCATCTCACTAACCATTGCCACCAACCTTCCAGTTTCCAGAGCATAAATCTTGGGACTCATTCTTTTTGTCTCCTCTCTCTCAAAGCCCCTTCTAATCAGCTGGCCCGCGCTACCAGCTTCAATCAAAATACACCTGCACTCTGGACCACTTCGTACCGTCAGCATTTTCACCTGAAATGTTCTGCTGTACTGTAAACAGGTCTTCTTGCTTTCTTTCATCCTTAGCTTCTCAACTCAGTTTTCAAAACATTAACCAGAAGGAGACTCTTAAAATATTAGCCTGATCATTTAAATCTTCTGAAAACCCTCTGCAAGAATAAAAAGCAAAGCCCTCATGCTGGTCTCTGAGAAGGGTTGATAGGAGGTCACTAAGCAGCAGGGTAGCAGGACAGTCTGGCTTTTATCTGTACAATGCAGTGTAAGCACAGTTGATCAGTACTTCAGTATTGCACTGCTCAAGTGCCCTCAGCTGTGACCTTGACTTTTCTTAGACTATCTTAAGAGTCTTCCCTTCATGCCACTAATCTGTTGCCACATGGCCTGTCCCACTGTTCCAGGAACTTGCCAAGCACAGCTCCACTTTAAGATCTTGCCCTTCTGTTCCCTTCGGTGCTGTCTCGCAATACCCACCCCGCTGTCTCTTTCCTCACCCATAGGTCTTTCTCAAATGCCCCTTCTTACAAAGTCTCTCTTCTCCTGCTGTTAAATGAACAAGCCCCAATGGTCTCCTTCCCTGCTCTGTTTCTCTGTGAAGCATTTATCATCCCACACACTACACAGCTCATGGATGTATCTTGTTTTCATCCCTCCGCCCATAGAATATGAACTCCACAAGGGCAGGACATTCTTGTTTGCTAACTGTGGCTTTATTGGTGCCTTGAACAGTGCCTGCAACTAATAGCAAATTCAAAAAGGTTTCATAATGATCTCAACTGGTTTCACAAGCTGTACAGAGCAGCAAATAATATGCATTGAAGGAGCTTGTCTTTCGTTGTCATCTTAACTTAAAAGCATCTTGTTATTCATCTTTTAAAGTGGAAAACTTTATCATAGCATTATCTCATGATAAGGATGTGTATTTCCTGTATTCAAATCAAATCTGCATCCCAGGTCTGTATTTGTGTGTGTTTCAACTTT